CCTAGAATAAGAAAGAGTGTTTTGTCTGGGTAGGCGAACATGAAGGACTCATCTGCGGCGATGAGTTTCCTTCTGTAACCTTTCAAAGTTTCCCAAGCGCTGTGAATACCTTTCTCTTCCACCTCAAACTGGTTGGGGAAGCTTTGGATTTTAGACATGAAATTTGAGGCGGTAGATTCACTGATCTTGTTGTATTTGTCCTTTAAAAAATTCCAGACATCAATCGCGTTGTCAAACTCGTCAAAAACAGATTGATCGTCGTCGCTGAGGAGATCTGAGATATAAGAAAAGAACTTTGCGGTGTCTTGTTCGAATATCTTTAATTTTTCACTGTTCCAAGATCCCCCTAATCTCTCAAATTTTGACGTCATTTGCTCCAATGGATCTCTTTTCTCATTTTCTTTTCTTTTTGATGACGTGGTACTAGAACATTCGGCTTCATCTTTGGGCTGAATGGAAGAGCCTCCCTCTCGCTTTATCCAAGCAAATGTTTGCTTTAGTCGTGTGGGTCACGTAGAAGTAACCTTTTGACTTTGACTTAAATTCTACCTTGCGGAACCATTTATCATGATTTTGACGAGAGAGTATGAGTGCCTCACGTTTCTCGTAGTCTGAACCCATTGTCAGTGGTAATTTATTTCCTCCTCTTTTTCTTCGTTTAATAAAATTACTTTCTTTCGTAGTCTTTAGCGCTCTCGTCCGTTGGCGCTCTTTCGTTTGTAAACGTTCGTGTCTTGCGCGTCTTTCGCCTTCTCGTTCGTTTGCGCTACTCCAATCGTTGTTGATTTCTTTAGCACCCTCGTTCGTTGGAGCTACTTGAGAAAAGTCTGGGCACCGGTGGTCATAACCTATTAAAAACTTAGTCCTTGTATTGTGTAATGATCACTTTAAGGAGTTCTAATATAAAACATGGAAGGTAGACTTGTCTATGAAATCAACTCGTTAGAGGTATAAAATAATTATCCATCAAAACGGATCCAACACTCGAGATTTACATCTTGAGTGAGGGTCCGTGCATGCTAACAAAACAACCCAATAACCACGTGATAAACAAGCTAATTGTACAGGGTATCTTGCTCTCCGGTTCTCCTAACTCATGGCTAATGATGACAACTCAGACCCATAATAAGGGTCATGAGGATCCTGGAATTGCAATGCATTAGACTTATTTCTCAACAATCAAGTTGTTTTTACCGAGTTATCTTTTTCTTCAATCTCAAATACACATCGTCTGCCACAGGTCAGACACCAAGATACCTGACATGTTATTACTGCTATGGAAAGCGTGTGATATAAATACCACTCAAGCATTCCGACACTTTGCTGATAATTATGGAAGTCGCCGCATGAAGTAGGGCATGGATGGGGTCGAGGCGAGACTCTAATGAAGGTTGGCGAGTGACATCAACATCCTACAGGTAGCTACTCGGCCCCTCTCGGAGAATTCAACGATAGTGAGATCTTGACAGTTGAAAACCGGCTCATGTAATATAAAACTCGACGTCGTCTCCTTCAGCATCTCATAACGTCTATCGAAACAGTGCAGCAAATGCCGAATTTTGGAAAATTCTTTGATGTCGAGTTCTCGCTGCCGAGCACGAACAGCGTTGTCTGAAAGTATAGGAAATGGTGTTGTCCGAGAATGAGGTCCGGAAGGGGAAGTCGTTGGGGTCAAAACAATCCTTCGCGCGCCGCTGCTCGAGCAGGTTTGGAGTAACTAGATATATCATGGTTTTCTCTGCGGTCGCCGAATAGATTCGCCGTTAGGATTTGTACCCGTACCATCTACGCGTGCCAGGGGCGGCTAATCCTACCTTCAGTTCCACCCGCTGCCTGTACTTGTCTTTCCACGACAAGACTATCATTAGTTGGCCAGGATCTTCCGAACCCGAATTAGATACCAGGCCAGCATTTACCCTGGGCGTTTGTCAAACTAAACGACAACGTCGGCTTCCAACTCATCAACCTAGCGCGTCTAGTGAAGTTCAACATGCCATCGGCCCAAGCAGTGTGGGGTTGAATCCTCTCGCAGAAGCCTCGCACAGAGGGCCCTATTCGCAGACTTGTGGTTATGCTGATTGAATAGGGGGTTTTGTCGATTGGCCTTAATATACGCACACGTAGGGTATTTTTGGTTTGCATCAGATTTGAATTGCGTACGCAGCTAGCTAGCCAAAACACAATGTCAGAGATGAAGTTTAGAATATATGATTCAACATAAAAATAGAGCACTCATACCTTGGGAATCATCTACAAGTACCACTACCAATTTATGGCGGCTTTTTCTTCGGCCCGAGTTAGCCCTCCGTGAATACCCACCCAGGGAAACGTCTCTTAACCCCTGAGTTATCCAGACATACCTCCATCATCCACTGACTTTTCTCCGCGCGAAATGTGGTCTGGGGCATCCCCTTTCCAAGTGGAGTAGGTGCCTAGGCTACTCAAACTATACCGGAGAACACCACCAGGAGGCGGGCCGGCAAAGATGAATTCTTCACCTTCCAGTGGTAAGGGTGTGATCGCTCAGTACGCTCTACATGCCTGGGGCGATCAAGGAGAATCGCATCCGGATCGAAGTCGAAAGCGATGCGAAGTATATCTAAAAACGGCTACTTCTCATCAATATCGGCCCTATCCTTCTCACGCAACTTCCTCAACCTACCCATATCCCAAATAAACTCGCCATCACGACTGAATAAGTAGTTGCACTAATTGCAATCGGGAATTGGCCTCATCAAAAATCGGCCATCTCCTATTATGAACATACGATGTTAACTATACCCGCGAGGAAGAATTCAAGTCATAATCTACAAAGCTCGGGTCTTGGTTTATGGGGGACTGTTGCTCTAATCGGGCTTCAAATCTTGAGGGAGGAGAGGCAGCTGGAACGTGGGACGACCGAGGGAAGAGGTCACAAATTGGCACGCTGGGACGCACATTTTTTCGAGTGTTTTCAACTCAAGGGTGTCTGTGGGTGCAAAGACAACGATTTCGGATAGTCCTACCGACACTCTAAAAATAGGCAACGATGGAATGTGTTTTGGTCCGCCTCCTGGTCGTCATCTCTCCGAATTAAATTCTGCGTTGCCTGAACGCCTACCTCAATCGAGAAAGGGAGGACTATGAGGCCATATCTCGAGCGGTGGCTATATACAAGATGACAAAGATATGTTAGGGTAGCCAAAGGTTTTCCTGTTTTCCCTTTGGTGGATATTAATTGTTGAGGGAAGAGTGAAAGTCCCTAGCACCAAGGTCTCGAGTGGTATCAACGAATGCTCCCACTACATGAGTAGTCCAAATGACAAACTGAGTTATCGTCGTATATAGTTGTCGGAGAAGCTAGTCTTCTCCGCGTCATGCTCTCTGGGTGCAGGGCTTGTACCCGTCGCGATTAAACTTTCATTTATTCATTCCACTCCTTACGGCCAGCGCGACGCATCCTATTTTCGAAGTGTCCAAAGTATAATGCCAGACCTTAGTCTTGGCGCCCAAAAGCTTCTCAAAGTTGAAACCCCGTCAAAAGAATTCAGACCCCGCATGCCTATCGATGAACTCTTCCCTACTTCCTTTCAAGTCACAGCCACCTTTCCTTCTTCAAGTTGAAGATCCCCAAACATTAGATGCCCTCCCCAAGCTAAAACCCGAGCCACATCTTTTTTAATTTGGTTTCTTAATTATGGATAAATGTAGCGCCCTACTTTAATTTTGGAGGGTAACTCATGATTGATGAGGAAAGCTCTTATTTGAAGTTTAAGCATCTCCTTAATCGACCATTAAGGTAATATGGTGTGTGGTATGGTCGAGTCGGAAGTCTCGCGTGAGAAGAATAGGACAGAAAATGATGAGAAGCCGTCGAGTGTAGAAATTCTGGTATTTGCTTTCGACTTCCATCCGAATGCGATTCATCTTGGGTATTCTAGAAATACAGAGCATACAAGATGGTTGCACTAACAGCACTTAACAGTGAAAAGAGAGGGATCAGGATTGATCAGTAAGATGACCTTAAGCATTGATGCAACCTTGAAAGAGTGCAGCTAACATTATAAAAATAAGCCAACGATGGAAGGTATTGGGGCTCGTCTCCTGGAGGTGATCTCTGGTATATTTTGAATAGTCTAGACATCTACACTTGGGAAGGAGACGCCTTAAACCATGTTTCGCACAGAGAAAGACTAACGGATGATGGAGGCATGTGTAGATAACTCAGGGTTTTTGAGACGTTTCCCTGGGTGGGTATTCACGGATGAGGGTTGACTTGGAGTGAGGAAAAAGCCGCCATAAATTGGCAGTGGTACTTGCAAATGAAATCCGAGGCATGAGTGCTCTATTTTTATGCCAAGTCATCTTTTATAAACTCTATCTCTGACATTGTGTCATAGCTAGATAGCTGCACAATAAATTAAAATATTATGAAAATAACTGTGCGCGCCCGCTATAATCATCACAGGGAGATAAAAAATGAACTCAATTTTTGATTCAGACTAAAGAATAGCTGTATTATCCGATAAATATGGGACTACGTAACGACATGCCCTCTTAAACTTGAGACTGGTAATTTATTTGGCTCCACTAGCGGAAGGGTATAGTAGTGAGGATGAAGAGCCCTAGCTGGAAATGTTGTAGCCCCCGTAAACCGTACAGTTTCTTGGTTACTCCCCCTTTTATGAAAAGATACTTTGTCCATTCACTAATTTTAAACAGACAAAAATTGCATAATTTTTCATTCTTTTTGTATCACCTAGTGTTAGGAGTTAGAATAACTGGGGCTATCAAGTAGACCATGCTGTTGATACATACGTGATCAAAAGTCGAGTACTTAGTTTTAATTTAGTAGTTACTTCAATCAAAGCGCTTTATACCGTCAGTGCTGAGGGATCATTATTTCCTGAATATCCAAGTTTTTTTACGCTCACACTTAGTCTAATGAAATAAGCCGTAAGTATATTTCCAATATTTTTTGAACCTTTTTTTCAATTTCACAGCACTAGCTGGCCAAAAATTCAGCAACTAACAATAGTGGCCGCTTTTCGTAAGCGATTCATAACAGCTGCCGCGATATCACCAACATCTTTGATTCCTTCGATTAATATTACATCTACACCAATCTGATCCAAATCTCTTAGAGCTGCGAATAGGTTTCGTGCAATAAACTTGCTGTCTGAACCTAGAGATATCTTGGAAAAGTCTGCAATTTTTTCTGGTGCTATACTATTCCCTGAATTTTTGCTTGGAGAAGTAGTATTAAAGGCCTGATCTAGAAACTGACGTAGTTCCCCTTGTTGTATCGAATAATTAGTTGGAATTTTTGCGGAGGCTTCAATATCAGAAGTCTTTAAATAATTCAATGGAAGTGATTGAGTGATACTATCAGTTTCGCCACAAAAGTTCCAGTACTTTGTCGAAATAATTCCTACCTTTCTGATTATAGATGACATTTGACTCAAATCCAAATCATGGAAGTATGAATTTAAAACCTCTTTGACAGCCTCTGGAACTGGGCCTTTGCTTTGGTAGTCACTATCCGAAAGAATTGTATGTGAGGGTTCAGATTCGAATAAAATTACTGGAGCTCTAGGACTGTAGTGCTTGTATTTCATTCCCGGCGCCCTCGGAGCCTTTGCTCCAAGCTCGCTTTTGTCTTTGTAAGCTTTCACAACATGATTCCAGCCGGCACATTCGCTGATTTCGTCCAAACTAACTCCACCTGGTCGGAGAATGGCCGGAGGCTCGCACAGTCCATCGACAACTGTACTTTCTACACCTATAGCACAAGCTCCCTCACTTAAAATTAGGTCAATCTTCCCATCTAAATCCTGTAAGACATGATGAGCCATTGTAGGTGAAGGTTTTGTGGACGCATTGGCAGAAGGCGCAGCGAGCGGCTTTCCAACCAAAGAGATAAGTGAGAGGGCTAGAGTGGAGTCAGGCATGCGCACACCAAACGTAGGTAAGCCAGCTGTGACTTCGGGCGCTAGTTGACTTTCTGGTGGTACTTTTAGGAGGATGGTGAGTGGTCCAGGCCAAAATCTTTGTATAAGGGGCTTGTAAATATCTGGTATTGGATCAGACGGAAGAGGTAGACCTTTATCAAATTTTGCAGCATAACCAGGTATTAAGATATCTCGAAGCATGACAAGATCGCAGACATGAACAATCAACGGGTTATCAGATGGCCGTCCTTTAACCCGGAATATACCCTTTACTGCTTGACTGTTCGTCGCATCGGCCCCAAGCCCATAAACAGTTTCTGTTGGAAATGCCACTGGCGACTGAAAAGTTTGCAGTTGTCGAGCAGCCTCTTGAAGTATCCCGCCATTTTCTCGGATGGACATCTCCCATTTTTCGAGAAATCCATCATCAGTGAAATGTCCAAATCCGTCGGTATCGACAAGACATATTCGAGTTTTTTTTTCATCAACACACGCAGATTGCGCCATCGATCCGTACGACGAATCAGAGGTAAAAATAGGGATAGATTTCTTGTAACTCTGTTAAAAACAAGACTGTTATGATTGCTTGGATGTGTTAAAGGAAACGGCGTCAGTTGTTTGATAGAAGGACGGGGTTACTGATGACTTTGGACAATTTATCATGCAGCAGTATTATAATCATAAGCCCAGGTTAGTATGATTAGGAATACTAAATTTTTTCTAATAGATAGACTGATGTGATCTGAATTATGAGTTGAACGGTAATGAGGTTGGATTGGCTCATATTATTAGTTATGTGTGCCGAACACTCGCTACTTATACGAACATACAGCCGCTATTCAGCTTCTATACATGTGAGCTCCTTTACGCAGATATTACTGAAAATAAGTGTACTGTAACTATAGATGCCAGGTAGTTTATATAGACTCAGCTGTCCAATACAAGACCTTACGGTTGTGTTGTGAGCTTGCACGGCGTTAAATGAAAAATAATATTACAACAAAAGCCCTATTCTTGACACTCTCTATTTTGATGGCGAGGTGTAAAATCAGAGCCTAATGCGACGCTTCCGTCGCACTTTATTGGGCTCAAAACTCGCTGTCTAAATATAGGGGGCTAAGTATTGGATCTAATACCACTATCACCATTGAGCTCTCCCATCTAAAACGACGCACGCTCAGATATCTACTAGCTACGCGATCTGGACACGGCGATTTGAGCACGAAACTACTATCCAAACCGGCTCATGCGGGACAGAGGTCCCCGACCACTTATTCTATTGCCGCGTCGGACAGTACCAGTCTCAGCTCCACGAGGGTCAAATTTTCTTTCCCGTCATATCGTGGGCTCAAAAGTGGAGGGAGTTCATGCGTTTAATAGCTGGGCGCGTATTACGGGTTTCCTTGAAAAACCACAAATGTAATCGGAGCAGTATCATGAAATAAAAAGCCAGAGAGCCTTGGATTTGTATGGCTAGTCTTTTTCTTTCATAATACATGTAATGCACAAATTCCGAAGACAGGTCGGCATTTTTGCTGATTAAATCCTTGAGCGTAGAACGATGCGATCGTGAGTTTCATTAGCTCTGTTTGGCCCATCTGAGCGCTAATACGACGCGTAGTTTGTTTTTTGAATTTAATCTACGTCGTTCCGGCGTGCACCCTTTATCTACGAGAGTTATGTGCTGGATAGCTTAGTCTATGTACTCTACTCGACGAGCTAACAACACCTAGTGAGCCCAGCTCATCGGAAAAGAATGACTGCCTCTGCCAACCCTCTAGATCATACCCTTCCAAAGCTTGCAAGGCCCAGAATCCTTCCCGTATTTCATTAGAGGCTTTGGTTTCTTCATCGGAAGTTCATACTCAGCAACTTGAGATTGGCCATCTCCGATAATTCCCCGTCTCCAACAGTACTGGAAGAAAGGTTCGCGGGTTGGATTATGGCTTTTCGACATTAAATAGGGGGGATTTGAGAGATTTTTGGGCGTATAGAGAGGGAGTACGATATTTAGTTGATTCTGGTATCGTCTCGAATGGCCTTGATTATTTTCTTCGTGAATTATGTAGTCGAGGGATCTCAGCAATCCGGTAGTATCGACCAAAATCAGTCCAATAATTCTCCTTTTTTTTTTGCATCAGATTTTAATTGCGTATGCAGCTATCTAGCTATGACACAATATCAAAGAAAAGTACAAAAAAGATGACTCAATTTACAAGAGGAGCACTCATGCCTCGGATTTCATCTGCAGGTACCACTACGAAGTTATGGTGGCTTTTTCTTCACCCCAAGTCAACCCTCATCCGTGAATACCCACCCAGGGGAACATCTCAAAAACCCTGAGTTATCCAGACATGCCTCCATCATCCATCAATCTTTCTCCGCGCGAAATGCAATCTGAGATGTCTCCTTCCCAAGTGGAGTAGGTGCCCAGGCTACTCAGACTATACCGAAGAACACCACAAGGAGGTGGTCAACGGCATAGTCCATCGTCGGCTTGTTTTTATAGTGTCAGCTGCACTCTCGCAAGCGAAGCCTTGGCGCGCCCAAAGCCCAATTCGTAAAACTCCTTGCCCAAATTCGAAATTTCACGCCCTTCGAAATTATATCCTTCCTTTTCATCATCAAGTAAACTTGTCCTGATATCTCTCACGTCCATCCCAAAGAACTGTCTCCCAGATTTATGCGCCACGCTTTGTTTCCTCCGTCGGGTGTAAATATCGGTGTGGGCGTGTATTTGGTGGTCAACTGAGACCAGAGAAGGCCGAAGAGAAGTGTGGTCATTGAGATGAGGATGTACTTGGTCGTACTTGTAGACTTGATGAGACTTAGGTAGAAGTCAAACTCGTTGGGAGCGAAAAAACGACGTGGAGGAGTAATTTGAATCATTGCCTCGTGGGCCAACTTCTTTGATGTTGCCAAATTTGACAGAGCTTGGCTCTAGGAGAATATTTCACTCCCAGGTTCGTAGAGGACACCGTGTACAGGTGTTCAGTCTTGCCCTCCCAATAATTCTCCTTGTGGGAAGAGTATTAGTCAGGAAAATTTGATTCGGCCGTTAGGGGATGCCCGAATCTTGGCTCTGATGGAATATTGCACTCTCAGGGATATAGGGTACCCTGCACCCAATGGCGTATTCGATTTCTCTCAACTCCTTCCTACTCGCGCATGGTCCTCGTTTCATAGGTTTGGAAAGAGATCTCACAAGAGACAGATGGCGCCTCTAAGCGTCCCGTGAAGGAAAGTGCTAATAGAGCTCTTACTGGTGAACAAAGTTATGGAGGAGACAAAAGTTAGTAAATGTTACCCGAGGCACGGGTCACCTTGGCCAGTAGGCAGTGAGTGCCTAGATGACTCACATAGTCATAGACTGAGAAAGGATGATAATAGTAATACTATAATAGAGCATATGATATTCACAAAAAAAATCTCTTCACAGACTGTTGCAGTTTGTGCAGAGGTACGAGAGATATAATACTGTTAACAAAATCTCCATTTCTTATCACAGATCATGTGTAGTTTTAACAAAATTCACAAAATTTTACTAGATGTGGTTGTTCCAAAAAGGGAAAATTCGAGGGCGTCATCGGGGTAAGGAGCTATGGGCTATACTACGAACTGGTATGCATCTAGATACGTTTGCTCGAGATCGGAGTCGGGATAATTATATTGCCGACGTAATAAGCTACATTATCGAGCGGTGAAGCAAGGGTTACGGTGTTATGGGTATAACTTCGAATACAAAGCTTAACCTTTCATCAGCAGCATATAAACCTTCATAGAATAGGACTCTGTGACAGACCATCTAGTTCAAAGAACTACCTTTAGTTTCAAACACTGTCGTCAACACTGCCCGAATTACCTTATATTCTTCGCACATCAATTACAGCACAGCTTTAAAACTAATTATTTCTCAACGCGTACGGCCCGATAAAGAAGCTCGGGAAGTGAGAATTCAAAGTCTTTATCACGATATAACTGCAGTCTAGCGGAAACGAGCCAGATATGCTCATCAAGTATGTCTTCTATCCCTGGCAGTAAAGTTTGCTGTATGATTAACATCTCGCAGGGTACGGAGCCTTACAGGGAAGGAAATAGTGCTTGACATTGAGAGCAGCTATACGGTAATAGCCTAGTCTTGATGCTTACAATTTCCAAATATATTCCCTTGTACTCATGGAATTTTAGGTCTCGCAAATCAAGGAAAAAGTCGAGGAGAAAGAAGGGATTCCACCAGTTCAACAACGTTTAATATACGGGGGCAAACAAATGTAAGCTTATGAAATATATCATCAGACAACTGGCCAATTTACATTTTAACAGGGCCGACGATAAAACAGCTGAAGATTATAAACTTGAGGGTGGTGCCACATTACATCTTGTTCTCGCTCTTCGCGGTGGTTAAGACGGTAAACGATATTAAGTTCTGTGCATAGATTCCGCCTGAATAGTGTTAGATCGAATTCCACAAAGCTAAGCTAGCGTTGCAACCGAGCTTTATTTAGTAATTTGGTAGACAGCATTTGTCTCTCACCGTATTCAGTTATAAGCTGCCTTTTTTCAAATTTGCTACATTCGCTATACAATCTAGGCGCGAGGAATTTGCATGGATCCTCCAAGTGACATATGATTATCTATGATACGAGGCACAGCTTGGTTAATATCAACCGATCAAGTCGGTAAAATGCAATGAACGCGGAATTAGTTCAACAAAAACCCGCGTAAATAGTCATACTCTGGATGAAAATATCACCTTGTTCAGCTATTTTCAACATCTCAGCATCTTCTCAGCTTGTGACTGAAAAAGATGGAGGTTCCTCTTGTCTCCATATCATGGATATATTTACATGGGGTAGTATTTCCTGTCTTATACTTCCTACATAGCTTCATCTCCCAGTGAAGTAGCTTAGTCTAAATTCTTTGTGACGTCTTAGATTGTCGAAGGACACTATAGACTCATTATCGATAGAAGCTCTTCTAGTCAGCTTTGAACTCCTTGTTAGCTTTATAAACTCTAAGTTGAGAGCTGAAGGCTCGTCTATGACACCGCTGATAGACATTGCGAGTTCATCAACCTCAGAACGTCGTAGTCCCTTCTTTTTAATGACGAATTGGTAAAGAACCGCATGGTTTTTAGTATTCGGAAAGACAGATTAATTGTCAGCGATTCCTTCTCCGAACATATAAGTGATTTTTAAGTACTGTAAAGTGTCCCGTCAAATTTCACGATATAGACGACCACAGTCTACGAGACAATTTTTGAAGACCTCTATGCACATCAATTTTTCTATCCAAAAAAGAAAGATTCCCACCAAGACTTTCTAATGTCCAAGAGAAAACCTTCGCATATCCTCACTGCGATGTCTACACTTCTCATCGAACAAGTTCCTAGACTTAGCTGGCCTCCTAATATGTGATCATAACATTGTGAATACTGACGAGATAACAAAAGTTTTCCAATGCAAATATGACGGGAAAAGCTAATGGGTGGATACAAGGAAATCAGG